TGCTTCACTCTGGGACTATGACAGATGCCTTACACACTGAGCTGCTACATTGCCAGCCAAACTCTCATTCAAGATGCTAGTCAGATGAGGGCTGACACAACACTGCCCAACAACCCTAATCTATCAGTCCATGGAATGAAAATAATTTTTGTGATATTGACAAACTCACAAAAGAATCAGTCCTGGAACTTTATTGCCAGACCTTGTACATTTCTGAATTTTTTCATCAGATATTCTTTCTTCTCCCATGTGAAGCATGAACTTGGGGAAAACTGCAGCTCAGGAGCTTAGATCTCTCACTTAAATGAGATGTGGCCTGCTGATGGAGGGGGCACATTAAATTCAAGGGTTGATACTCTAAATTGGAGGACAAAAACCAAATTGCTAAAATTAAGCTGCCTTGAAAAAAAAAACAGTTGAGTTAATTTCTAAGCACAGTTTTCAAGGACCATTCAGTACTCACTTTGAGGATTGTCCAGAGTAAGTTTTTCATGAAGGAAGAGGACAGAAAGGCATTCATTCTTCAGGACTTTTGTTAACTGGTGAGCAATCTTGTGGTTCTGGCAGAAGACCACAGCTCGCACTGAACCTCGGATGCCTTTTAGGAGGTCTAAAGGGTAACAATAAAGGATAGAATGAAACATGGCCCTTAAGGAACATGTTTCCATGTTCCAGGTAAACATGAGTCCAAATATTGGATCGAACAGCACCTGTTACACAAGATACTTTTGTCTCATCATCAACAACATGCACCCGAGTATTGACCCGTGCATAAATAGAAGCTTCTATGGGAGAAGAAATGATGAGCTGGGGCATTGCAAAGGCCTTTAGGAGATCTAAAAATGGTGGGACCCATGTGCGACTGACAGCAATCAACTGATGAGCAACAAGTTGATTTGCTCGAGATTCCATAGCAGCAGTGAAAAGATTGATGATTTCACGCACCTATAAAATTAGAGAATGAACTCATTAATGCAAACAGATATGCAACAGAACTGACTTTTTACTGCTGCCTTTTACATCTATATGGAACTTCCATCAAATGCAATTCTTCATATTGGATATGAAGAGTTGAAAGTCTTTCAACTACAACAGAGAATGAATGGTGTATTTTTTGGGCTTTATAGGTGCTCTTTACAATCAAGGCAGCATGAAAAGAGACAGGATGGTTTGAGGGCTAAATTAGACCAATGCAAATGATAAAACACCATTTGCCTTCTGATCCTCCAGGGCCAGTTGCCAGTAGTGCTGATAATCCTAACACAGCCAGATACATGGTAGATTTGTGAAAGACTATTGCATCTCTAAAAGAAAGCAAACAGCAAAACACTAAAGAAATATGTTTTTGACTTACTTCAGAGTAAAAATTCGTACACAAGATATCAGCATGGTCAAACACCAGATGACATGCTCGCTGCAAGCTTGTGATGCGCCCATTGTTGCACGAAATGAGTCGAAGTAGTGCTGGAGGAGTGGAGATGAGAATATTGCATCCATTTGCAAGCTTTGTCTATTGGAAGAATACCAAATTCAGTATCTGACAATCTATTCTTTGAATCATGAGGTAAAATGAAGAGTTACCTTGACATCACAGTTAATCCTATGACCATAGAAGGCAACACAGCAAACTTTGATGTCATGCTTATAGGTGAAAGCTTCACAGAAGTCCAGGATCTCCAGTACAATCTTCCAGGATGGAGCAATCACCACCACTTCTGGCTCCTTCCCAAGGGGCAACTATATCAAACAAGAAAATGGAGGAGCAACATGTATCTAGTAATACCAGTAGGCAAATGTGAGAGCAGATAAGTCAACTCATAGAGAGAGAAAGATAAAGAAGAAACACAAAACCTTCTTATAAAGTTCTCCTTCCATCAGTTCAGAGAGAATAGCCACTAGGTATGCCACAGTCTTGCCAGATCTGCCTGGGCCAATGGCTACAGTGTTCCTGGACCGCAGAAGTACAGGCCATAAGTACTCCTGCATGGTGGTGGGTTTTCTTATTGCAATTGCCTCCAAATGCTGCACAGGGGGTATGATTCATGCAGGACCTGAACAGAGAGGCATTCACAAGAGAAGCAGAGATGCATGCATCAGTGACTACCTCACGAAGGCATTCATCCATGTCACCAAAGTGAAAACGGGATTCAACGATTGTCTCCCCATGCAATAAGATTCTTGATGATGCTATTGGCTCCTCCTCCCATTGCACCTCTTCTTCAGCAGCCATGATTTCATCTTCCTTCAGAGGTTTTGGATATGCAGACCTTTCCGAAGATCTATGTTCATTAAAATGCCCCAATGGTAACTCACAGCTTATATTTTACCACTTAATAAATAAAACAAAACACTCCTAAAAAGGCTAAAAGGGAGATGACAGTTGAAAGGTCCCAAGTGAATTCCCTGAAAACTTATTGGATATGATGAGTTTTCATTTCTAATGAGACCATTGATTCTCCTTGATTCAAGTTCAACATGGGCCACCAAGGCTGATCATCTCCCTCCCAGGTCCTCCTGCCACAGCTACTGTTAGGTCCAAGCATTCTGAACCCTCATATTCTAGACAGGGAGTGAAAACTAAGCCAAGGACTATCCCTTCTCTTGTGAACCCACAGGGAGACACATGCCCATGGCCCACCCACCCTGGAAATTTTGGAGAAACAACAGTTCATGTGCTTACTCTCATCAACTCCCTCATTAATTTCCTTCAGTGTCCTGTCCTGCTCTTTTATTCTAATAATAAAGGTTTGAAATTAATCGGAGCCTTTTTTAGTGATGTATGTTCTGTCCTATTCTAGATTAAGCCAATCTGGGCCAGAAAAATCATCTGTGCCAGATTCCTGTAATGACATGTAATGGACAGTATGTTGATCTACAGGCAAAGTTGTATCCCTCACTCAAACCTAGGCTCCCACTACACTTTTATTTGGGAAGAGCTTCAAGAGCACCTTAAATGGCATTCAATTAAGTTGTATACCTTAATATAAGTCACCTAGAAACTAAATGGGAAGAACTTGGTATATATCCTGAATTATTTCCATTTGATGTCTTTTTTTGCCAAAAACAAAGCTACATTCTGCTATGCCTGACTCAGCTATCTTCAATGATGATTATAAACTCCTCAGACAGGATGGGATTGTATTTGGGGGAGGTCTGATGGCATATCTGTACTGGTCAGTCATACAAGGAAATTTCTCTCATAAACCTTTCATGAGCTAGGTCAGGGTCAACTGGAATACCTTGCCTTTCAAATCAGCTCTTTATCAATCAAAGAATTAAACATAGTAACCCTTCATCTTCCACCTAAGTGAGAGCACAAAATCTTGACCTCTTGGGTCAGCTAGGAACCTCTCTCATGTCTGAGGATTTGGTGATCCTGGGTGATCTCAACCATGACATCCTTGCTCAGCATTGGCAAAGTGAAGAAATCCTCCACTTCCTTACTTCTATAAAGTTTCACCACCTCATTATGCTCCCCAACAGATTAACTACCCTCAAGCACACTCATTAACCACCTATATGTCTATTGTAAAGAAAAAGCTCATATGTCAGGAGTGATTCCTACAGTCTTCAGTGATCACTTTCTTATCAGTAGTACCTTTGGCTGCTATGCAACACCTTACAAATGAAATAAATTTAACCCTGGATTTCCCATGAGATGAAGAACTTATTAAATCGAAGCACTATTTCCATAGTAAGGCACTCTAGATTGAGCAAACTAGTCATTGCAACATTTATTGTTGTCAAGAATTCATCTTAGGACCACTCCTCTTCCTACTTGTTAAAATGTCTGGAATACTGTTATTAAGCTCTATGCTGATGACACCACTGTATATACATCAAGCAACAATGTCTGCCAAGTTCAAAAGCAGTTTCAGCTTGAAATAGTGCATAACTGGACCATCACTAATAGGGTGTAGCTAAACTCTAGCAAAACTAATTGCATGCATTTTGCCCATGGCAAATTGAAATATAAAGATTGCTTACTGGACATAAATATGAAAGGAATACCTATCTGGTGTGTAACTGAATTCAAATTCTTAAGCTTTGTCATTGATATCAATCTTTTCAAATAGGCAGTAGAGCAAGGTGGTCATGAAGATCCAAGCACCCCTGGAAGCAAGAAAACTACACCATACATGGACTCAAGATCCTCCATAAAGTTTAAAAAACTGATATCCATGTCCCATTCTTACCTCTCTTCAAAAAGCTCAGTGGTTGAATTTCAACAATCAATTACTCTCGAGACTGCAAACATGGTCCACAACTACATCAGAGCAGCTGCAACTCAATACTCTTATGAGATTTCCTTCAATTTCCTGTCCTCTCACAAAAAAAGCAGATTCCAAATGCCAGAAAAACTGGCACTATTCTCTACCATCATGAAATTTGGTCCTCTGGTCCAGTCCTCTACTTATTTAAAATTTTTTACATTTGATCTTCCATCTGAGGGGCTATCACAAGTCCCTTGTTAGAGTGAGTGAAGGGAGTCACACCTGGATGGAAACAATTAATATTTCTTCCAAGATGAGATTTGATAATGGAATATACACTTAGGAGAATGTTCAAATTAGATCCATAAGCAACTCATTTTTTGTCTAGAGAAAGGATACCTGAAAATCACATGCAAAAAATGCAATAAACAATCAAATAAACTGGCAATGGTTACCACATCAAAATGGCAACCAACAGGCATTCACAGTTCTCTTGCACTGAGGTGTGTTCTGAAACATGGGATTGAGTCAAAAGATGGTGCCTAGCCTTCCTTAAAGTATTAAATGTCATGTTAAGGTGAGGTAGTCCATAGTAAACAATTTTTTTCTAGAGGCTGCATCTTTGCTCCCAGAAGAGCTGACTATGTATCTTTTACATTTTTGGGAAGCCCTGGATGAGATCTTTCGATTGAGCCTATTTTTGTTGAAAAATCTTTCATCTGTACAAAGTAACATGCATTTGTCTGAAATCAGACCCCTTTTTAAGCTTCAAGAATGGTTTTGTTTTTTATGTTTGCATGGCAGGTTCCCAAAATACTGAAGTAATCATATATATAGGGCAGTTCCAGATTAATTGGGACAAAAGAGGTAAAAAATTGATTTACAAAACTGTCATCTATCTTATGTTTCCTACACTGTATGGGTACTAAATTTTGACCAAATAAGCTACATTAAACATTGATCACCTGAAGTGGGATGGTTTTTCATTCCTGCTGCACCATTCTATTTGAATGAATTTAACACTTGCTTGGTGAATCTCGTTAAGTCAGTGACGATGGAAAACATCTCATGGCCAATTCATTTTTGAAAAAAAAAAAAACCTCATTTGTCATGAAGAATGGTGATGAACAATGTCTTCTTTTCTGAAAATATGGAAGCTTCAGGTCAAGCCAAATCAGGCAAAATTGGAAGAGAAGCAGCAGTACAAAAACCGCTGAATGAAAACTAGGTACACAAGTCAGGTTTCAGTATGCCCCCCTTTGAAATAGCTCCCTTAGCTTGTGATACACTTTTTCCTACATTTGTAAAGAGCAAGAAATACTGGCTGTAAGCCATTCTTGGCAACCACCCTCAATGCATTTGTTGCAGCTGATTGGAGAGTGCCTATGTCAATGAAGCTGTGGCCTTTCAGATGGAACTTCATCTAGGAAACAGCATGAAGTCACAAGTCGCAAGGTCCAGTGAATAGGGGGGGATGTGGGAGCAATTTCACCCCACAATTGGTGAAAACCATTATGGTTCTCAGCTTCGTCAACACAGGTGCTCTCCAATCAGCTGCAACCAACATGTTGAAGGTGGTTGCCAAGAATGGCTTACAACCAGCGTTCCATGCTCTTTACAAACATGGGGAGAAGTGTATCACAAGCTAAAGGAGCCATTTCAAAGGGGAGCATACTGAAATCTAACTTATGTACCTAGTTTTCACATACAAAGGCCAGTCCTGGAACTTTTTGATAGGTCCTCATAGATCCGTAAACTTTTTTTTTTACTCACAGATATTCCAAGTATTATGGATTACAGTTTATTTAGAATGAATAAATAAAATTAAATAAAAGATATATTTTTATTTACTTATTTATTTTGGAAAATACTTTTATTCAAGATTAAATTCCAACTTTGAAGAGCAATCAATTAAATTTATTCCAAACTCAAATGCCATTATCATATTTCTGTAGAGTAGTCACTTTTCCTTCACAGCACATGTTCATATAAATATATGTTTATACTTACACTGCAAACAAAATAAAAAAATAATATAAATTTGAACAAAAATAACTCAACACTACAGAGTTTAAAATATATATATAAAAAAAAACAAATACTAGGAGAGTAAATAGTGGCAAAAAAGGTTACTTATGTGTAATGTAAATTACTGTATCTGAAGGCTGCTGCCATCTAACAAGTAGGGTAAACAGGGGAGTAGTGGATCACCCGACAGTAGTGGACCACTCCTAAGGTTTTATTCCTATAAAATGCAGAAAAAGCTTCAGTTGCAATTAGGGATGGGGTGGTCAATTGACCACCTTTTAATTGACCATTATTGACCACTTATTTTTTTAATTCAGTGAATTAAGATATTTTTAAAGAACTCATAACTGTGGTCATTTATCCCCCAGCAATAAAACCAAAGAGCCAGTTCAATTTTTAAGATTTGTTCATGCAGCCTGCCCAACACCTAGACTGTGGTACCTGTTGCACATGAAAACATTTTAGCAAATGCTCCAACTACCATGACCTTTCACCTGAGTGATGCAGAGTGTGTGTGCAGGCATAGCTTGCTGTTCAAAATTGTATAGCCTCAAGGACTTTCAAAGTTAAGGTTCAAGATCTAAGTAACAGCTTTTAATCTAGCTATGAAACATGATTCATTACTGTTTACCCTATAAATTGCATGAGTTGGAATATTAAATTTATCTTAGCAATGAGATGTTGACTGGTCAACATGGTCATTTATGATCATATAGTCACAAGGCCTAACCTCTTGTTGGGCTCATTACTATTATTTTCTGCAAATGGTCTAAAATGACCATGTTGACCAGTTAACTTCCCATCCCTAGTCTATCACTTGTAAGTCATGACATATATAATGGTGCAAAAACTACAAAGAAAAAAATAAATAAATAAATAAAGGTTGGTCCTATTTACCAAAATTGACTGGTCAATAACCCATCCCTAGTTGCAATCTTCCCTTATTTTAGCATTAAGAAGTAATGTTCCCCTCAAGGGCTAACAGAAAGCCAGCAACATCTAGGATTCTTTGTGGTTACTAAATTTTCTCTAAGTTTTTGCATAAGTTTTCCCTTAGAAAACTTAGAGACAATATAGTAACCACAAAGAATCCTAGATGTTGCTGGCTTTCTGTTAGCCCTTGAGGGGAACATTACTTCTTAATGCTAAAATAAGGGAAGATTGCAACTGAAGCTTTTTCTGCATCTTATAGGAATAAAACATTAGGAGTGGTCCACTACTCCCCTGTTTACCCTACTCCAACCATACAGAGGGGGAAACCTAAGGAAAAGCTGAGGCCAAATATCGACCTAAGGCATTTTTAGCAGTTGTACACTTGGCTGAAAAATCAGCCATGCAGCACTAAAAGGTTAAATTGATCTGATTTCATAATGGGTGTCTTATGAGAATAAGATTATCTCCATCAAAAAACAGATTCCCATAGAGGATCATGAGATCAGATAAGTTTAAGTCAGGGGTGTCAAACATACGGCCCGCCGTCTGCTTCTGAAATTTTCCCCATGGATTGAGTGTCAGCACAAATTTAAGTGAAATTTTATGGGTGCGGCCCACAGGCATCTGCAGGGTAAGGAATGCGGCCCGCCGACCGATTTGAGTTTGACGCCCCTGGTTTAAGTTGACCATCAAGTTTAAGTTGACCATTGACCATCAAGTACGAGATATCTCTGAATTCTAACATTGTATGATGGAGTACTGGATATTACAAATTGCACGCTTTCATATTTTTTCACATTTCTGGGACTGAGTAAAAAAATATAAAAGCTTAGATATAATAATTTTTTTACTTTTCTCCAAAATTCTGCAGCATGTGAAAAAAAAATGGTGGCAGTCAATGCATTAAACGCATCTGGTGCATGTCACTCACAGCCTCTAGGAAAAAAAATTGTTTCTTATGGACCATCCTGTATACCATGGCTGAAAGCCCCTGAATATTTTTATTTTTAAAATGGTGATTCATATATTCAAGGAGACAAATCATTTTCCTTTCTTGACTTACAGAGCTTCTGTCAGTGAGCTGCACAGATTTAACCCCCTTGGCATTTGACCCAAGCTTATCTCAGGGTTATTTCTGAAAATAATGAATTTTATTTCTGACCTGTTGTATTGTTTATATATGCTACATGTAAGGCATTAAACAATAGATGCATAATAAATGTGTGTATTTTCAGCAGAAGGAGTATATAGAGAATATAAAGCTTAAATATTTCACGCTGTGGAAAAATTGAGTTTTTTCTAGTAAAATTAGGCAGGAAAATGAAATGCCAAGGGGGTTAAGATCTATAAGACTTGAATGGCCATATAGTGCTGGAGCTCAAAATGCAAACCTAATGCATATGCATATTTTTTCCCCTGCTGCTTTTGTTAGGGAGACATTTTCATTAGTCACATGGTTTAATCTTCAATGTCAATATGTGAATATCTGATAAGAGAAAGCGATCAGTACTATCAGGCAAGAGAGTAAGTGTTATGATTACCCCAGTGCTACCAAGTCATGAGGTTAAGGGCATACCCCCTTAACAATTTCAGTACCACATTTTCCATGGTCATACCACTGTCCATGTATGGCCATGGTACCAAATGGGTTGAAAGTGCTAGATTTGTATTCTGCAGACACATTCATCTCATCCATTGAAGATTTCTTACATATGTTAGTGAAAACAACTTGACCAAGCCACAACTCAATTTTTTTTAGAGATAAGTTTCTTTCAAGGACAATTCCAAATATTGACCTATGGCATCAGTTCTGGTTAGGACCTGCTTGAGTTTTGTGTGTGTCACATCATGTTTACCTTCCTACCAACAGGCAAGCCTATGTATCTATATCTTTAGCACAGAAGAATAAATAAACCTATTGGACCCCTTAATGGTAGGCATGGAAAAGGCATTGAAACAGGGTGTTGCTTTGCTACCTTGATCTTAAATGTCACATGCTTCAGTCATAAGATCAAGGAATTGAGATCTTCTAATCTCTAAGCAGAACAACTGTGGAAAATTTTAGTCAAAATTTAATTTGGTCTATAATTATGATTTGTAACACTCTCAAAGATAAACTTTTCAGGTAGGCTTACTATTAATAAATTCATGGTTCCATGAATCCATTCCATGTTTATTTTGCTAGTGGCATACATCCTATGGTGACTCAGGCTGCAGACATATGGTCCCTTCTCATATACAGGGTGCTTCAAAAGTAACTGTGCAGTAGAGACATAACCAGTCTTATCCAGAAAGGCAGTCAGAAAAATGCACTTACTGCTAGTGAATAAATACAACAAAAAACACCACAAAACAGATCAGAGGTAACAGAAGACAATTTTGAACTGAAATTCATGAACAGTTCAGCAGCAAATCCATAGCAATTGCCAAAAATGCAAAACAGCTATTTTGTTTCAGTGCAGTTACTTTTGAAACACCCTGCATATCTTTGAAGCCAAACCATGATATGTCATCACAGCTCACAGTACCTAGTAATTTTATGCTCAGGTATACATTTTCAAAGAAACAAACTCAACAATATATCAACTATGAAAAAAACCTCTAGAGCTACACTGAGCAAGATTCTATATATGTCAACGATCCTCAACAGACAGGACTGCAGCACAAAGAACATAATCCAACAAACAGAACAGTAACACAAAGAACATAATCACCAAATGAGGTAGTCTTTTTATTTACACATGAATCTAATTTACCAGTATTTACTCAAAAAGTAAGTCCCTGCACATTATCTGACCCATACATAAGAAATCACACTTACTGAGGGCTGAGACAGTGAAGCATGAGAGATTCTGGGGTATCATTGGCTGCTTGTTTCTGTAGGTTCAGCATTGGTGAATTGGACTCCTCTTGGGCAATAGTTGTGCAACTTTTGTTTGCAGCAGCAGTAGCATTCTTTGCCATCTGCAGAGCCAACATGGCAGCATGCTGGGACATAAACATGTTTGGTTTCTTATCATTCTCCACCTCTGTCTTGATTTGCCTCATGCCAATATCACCAGTGATTTCATTCTCTAGATGCTTATCCTCTGCTGAATCTTTATTTTCCTGAGCTGGAGCCTTGAATTTCTTTTTGTTAGCAGCATACCGAAGGTAAGAATCCATGGTGGAACTCTCTGATGCAAACTTCACTTTCCCAGCATAATCAGCAGGATTGCGATTGATCTTGAACTGTTCCCAGTTAAGAGGTTGCTGGATTTGGGGGACCCCTGAGATTAAACCACTTCCAGATATCAAAAGGGAGTTGCCTTCAGAACTGGTGGAGCCAGACTTCACACTATCACATTCAGCTACTTCTCCCATCCCCACCATCTTGGAATGAAATGCCATGGATTAAGGGATATGTTACCCAGAACTACAAAAGAAAACAAGAGCACAGAAATCCATAGAAACTTACTGGAAGAGGATTCTGTGGTTGTATCACAACATTTACATTTGAAGTGCCAGAGCTATCACTTGAAGCAGGGGGCAGATTCTTGAGCTGAGACACCAACACAGGATTATAAGAGGGGAATATGTTATTTCCAACAATAGTACATAGTAATCCAAAGAGAAATATCAGTACATGAGGGAATCAGTACTTGAGAATCAGATGATATAGGTTTGACCCCTAAGAGGCAGGCAATTCTACCTCGTCCTCTTCCTACTAGGGGCAATGGCTTGAGTTCTTGGCCAGGAGAAATGGACTGTCCTCTTCCTATTACCAACAGCCTTTCACTGGAGCTTTTTGGTGAGGAGGCTCCTGGAGAACTCCACCCATGCCCTCTTCCAATCACAGGTATTATGTCACTACCTGAGGTGTCAGAGCTATCATTTCCAGACTGCCTCCAAGGACTGACATTCCCTTGTCCTATCAGAGCTCCAGGAGATGAGCTGGTGCTACCAGGCCTTAATGGCTTTGAAGGAAGTTCTTTCATGGACCATTTCCCTCTGCCCTTTTTCTGAGGTACCTGCCGAGTCTTCACTTCTACCTATGATGATTGGAGTTCAATATGAACCTGCTAGGAAAAGTTTAACAAATGATATGAATTTACTCACTACTGCCTCACTATGAGTTTCTTGACTCTGGCTAGCACCCAGATTCAGATCAAATACTTCAGAGAGATGGAAGGTGTTGCTATCGGACTGCATTGAAGCAATGTTGTACAATGGGGAAGACAAAGAACGGTCATCATCTTGCAAAGCTGATTCCTACAAAATGAGATGAGATAAATTTGTCAAAGTGACAGCAATGAGAGGGATCATTAACCTGTACAGAAAACACTAATAGGTCTACTGGTACTATATCAGGAAGAAAGGATTGTGGGCAGTTAAAGAAACAGCATCCAGTCATTCCCAACATGAATGCAGCATCCACAACCAGATCCCATATTTTATCTTTGGACTGCTTCAGGAGTTTCTCCTTCAGAATGGCTATCATGGGCTTGAATCCAGATAAAGGAGTAAGATATCTGATTGAGCCACTTAGTACAGAACTCAATTCACAAATTTTGACAACTTCAAAGGAATGGAAGTACTGCACACACAGGACTTAGTACCTAGTTGTTGAGGCTTGGAGTCTTCAACAGGAATACATTTATTTCTCTTGCCTATTTAGGCAGTTTTTCTTTAATATGTCAACAGCTAAACAGGATGCTGGCAAGTTGTTTGCTCTAGTATTCACTGGGCCACATATAGGTTTTGGCAGTTAACATGCTAAAGAACAAAGATCAGATGAGGAAATTATGGAATCCTGACTTTCTGTTGCATAGCCTCAGAAAACAGCCTAAAATGTGGAGGAGAGGGGAATTATTTCTGCACAGGCCTGCAAGTAGCATAAGTATCTTCTACAACAGAGGCAGAAAATGCCAAAAATACTTCAATGAAGCTGAACTACCTCCTCAGGTCTGAGAGTGGATTTGGATGTCTCTGACAAGGGAAGAAGTTCAGTGATATCAGGGCCGATAGATATGTTTGAAGTCTTTAAGATATTCACTTTCTCAGTCTTGGATCCTTGATCCTCACTTGTTCTGGCTGAAAAAAAAAACTCCATGAATAAGTTCAGTCCAACTTTAACAAAACAAAGTCAGAGTAAATTTTATCAGTGGCACAACTAACTCAGGTCAAGATAAGCCACGTTCTTCCTGATGAGATATTCACTAAGGACAACATCATCTTCTCCAGGGATTTGCAGCTTCAAGTCACCCAACTCAACTTCACCTTCTTGCTTTGAAGAATAGAGCCATACAGCTGAGGCCTTCTTCAACAACCCAGTTACAAGAGACCAGGCACCTGGATCCCATTCTTCACTTTTCCTGCAAATAGAATCTCAATTAGAATTGACTAAGCCACAAGCCCACGACTAGAGGGAAAATAGCTTTTACAAGACAACTCACTTATAAATTGTGCGAGGGAATGGTTCATACACATAATCCATAGTTTGGGGCTTGATGCTTTGCAACTGAACCAAAACTGCTTGACGGGGAAAACTTGGCAAATGTTTAGGTATCTCACGAATATCGTGTGCAGGAACAGTCACAGTCTCTCCAGTGTCAACTAAGAAAACCTGTAAGCACAAAAAAACCCTCCTGTCAGAGTGAGGCTCATGGATATGCGTAGGTGTGCGTGGGTGATCTTTGGATGACATAACACACACACAGTTAATGTGGCAGCAAGGACCTCTGCAACCCTTCTCCATCTACCAACCACAAGGGTACAGTTTATAGGTCCATCTGGCGCTAACTACTTACAGGTTATAGTTGTGGAGAATATGAAAACAGCTTAAATTATATTGAAGTGAAGGAAAACATGAATGCCCCTGGTGCTCCAGTGCTGTCATTGTGCTGAGATTTGAGATAAATGGCATTTGCCATTTATCTCAAATAATTTTTATTTGCCAAGCAAATCAAATTATTAATACAGCTATGGCTTTAGAAGATTCCTAACCTTAACTGCAGGGAGAAGTTATTGTATAGCTTTCATAATTTTTTTCCTGCTTGGGTGATGCCAGAACCTATATAGGTTTGCATTCCCTAAGAAAAGAAAAGTCAGGTGAAAGGCTTGAGACTATCTTTTGACCAAGACTCAGGCATTGAGAGGGATAATCCCTATCTGTGCCAATTTTTCTGTATGTAAGAGCCTGGGAACACATGTCCCTATTCTTGGAAAAGAGTTGAGGATGTCTGGCATTGGTCCACACTCATATGAGCACTTGTTACTCTTTATTTCTATGGGAAGCCAAAAGCAGCAGCAGAGTGAAAAACCTGTTGATGGACTGTGTGTATATAAACAGCTGATTCAGGCAGTTGCTAATGCATTGGAATAGCCATACAATTGATTGCCACTAAGAGCATTCTCATTGATCTTACATATGATGGTCCAATACTTTATGTGGCAGCTTCCATGCATCTGCACAACTCATGAAGAGGCTGCATCCATTTGATGCAAACCACTCTAAGGAATTTTAGCTTCTAGAAAAATCATTTGATAAATTCATCACATATGGTAGCACCTTCCCCTGGTTGATTCTACAATTTGAGAAAATGCATTTAATAGTATTCTGCAGGGATTAAAAAGGTACACTACTCTTACTCACCCGATACTTCATAGGAAGAGAGGATGGGGTCAAGCAATCTTGAATTACACCTCGATGATATGACTGGTCATGCAGTTTCCTCACAGCCACCATCTTGAAGAAACACCTCTGTCAAATCTAGTCTATCCCTATTACACAAGCAACCTATATGAAATGCATGTAAGTAATTGTGATAGAAAGTCACCTTTTTGTCTTTCAACAGGCTCAAAAGAATAGTAGATAGAGGTTCAACAAGGCACTTTTCAAATCTGTTCCTCAATGCTTCTGCAATGCTGTTCAATTTTTCTTTGTCCTCTGGCAACATGGAATCAGCATGAATATGTGTCCAAAATCTGGATGGGTTCACAAGTCCCTTCACCTCCACATGCTGCCATTTACCAGTACTAGTGTTGATATTCATTTCTCCTAAACTGGCCATCCTCCAAGGCTGTAATTCAATAGAGAACCAGTTTATTTCACAGTTGGGATCACTCAACATCACATTTCCAAGCTAGTGCTCAATTTTCTTTAATGATTGGCTGAACTTACACTATACAGGCATAACAGTAGTCATCATCATCAGTTTGTACTGTGTCTATGAAAAACTTGTGGGCATAGCATAAAGTAAATAAGGTCAGTTAGTAGTGTCAAATGTGAAAAGTACATGTATTTCTCTGACAGATGAGACAATAGAATGTACCAGAATGACAATGGGGGTGAACCATTAGTAAATTTGGAAAGCAATACAATGAAACACAGCAGACAGAGCATGTCAAACCAGCAGGTCTGTAGCAGACTAAGAAAAAGAAGTCAGACAGGAAAACCATCTACAGTGTTACCTGCTCAAGTCCCCTAATTTTGGGTCAAAAGGTGCTCTTCCAATCTTGGCAGCAGGGAGGGTTACAAAATGGCAATTCATATTGGCCCAATGCAAATTCATTGCTGAATTTTGCATGTCAGTGAATCACCATCAGATGGTTGTCATACCTTCCTTCATAACACAAGGAGTCAAATCAATAGAGAGAAGCAGACATTTTATCGATTTTTCAGCTTGATGCCATCCTGATTGCTCCAATGCATATAACTATTGCTACAAGGAAGGACTAAGTCCTGCCAGGTGTTGTAAATCTCAATTGACACCATTGGAACCAACCTCTAATGAAGAAGCAGCTACAGCTACAGCTCATGGTACAGATGAAATGACAGTAAATGCTGCATGGTAGCATCACTTCTGAGAATTTTGATTCAGATGAAATGCATCACATGGAGGACATTTTGATGCACTGAAAATTTTGCATATAGGGTAAAAGACCCAGTGATGGACCGGTCCCCAGTGATGGGCCACAGCACATAAAAATTCCAATAGCTAAGCTTCCATAGCTCGCCTACCCCTGTTGTGACATAGGCTAGCAGCATTCAAGCACACACACACTTCAGAGGTGGTTATGGAACAAATACTTAGTTTTTGGAATTTTCCTGCGACGTGGCCCATCACTGAGTACCCGCCCTTAACAGGCCCATCACTGGGTCTTTTACCCTATCTTCCATCCTAGTAAACCTCAAGAAAAAGGTATCACTGATTTTCTGTGCCCTTGGATAAAGTTACTTGCTGTTTTTTTTTTATTGTAGTAGAAAGAGGGAATGCCCAAATGCAGAAACCTCATTTCGGTAAGATAAAGGAGCCTTTTAGCAAAGAGCTCTTTTCTCCCCATAGGAGTCAATGTGTTCTTAAAAGATCATTAACTAAAAGAACTTTCACCATTCAAGCCTAATATTTAGGCCTAATAGGTCTGCAAAACATTGGGCATATAACTTTACTCAGATTAGTTTAAAACTATGTAGAGCAATTATTGACAAATTCCAACTAATATCACTCATTTTATGTGCATCAAGTTATCCAGATCAAGTCTCCTGCATTTATTGTTATCATATTCCACTGTGCATCCCATGGGTAGAATCCATGGAAGCAGTCATTAACAAGGAAAAATAAGCCCATATATATATTCAAATTCAATTCCTCCTCTTGTAGAGCTCACAGACACAGGCTGTATCTAGTCTTAACATGGAGTCCTGAATGGTACCTATCAAGCTCAAAATGGTTCAATGTCCCCATTCTCATATGATCTGCCCCCATGTTTTACTTTTTCTTTCCAATTTTGTACAACTTTTTTATTACTTCTTATAATAAAAAAAAAGATTAATACATATTCTGAAATCACTTATAGAGGATTTTCATTTAAACTATGAAAAAGATAAATTAGTTAGCTACTTAGGATCATTCCCAATCTCCCACCAATTTTGTAGGGTTGTGTCTCAGAAATCATAATTAAATTACAGTGAAAACTCATTAACTCAAATCCTGATAAGTCGAAATTCCGCTTATCTCGAAGTTCAATGCTTGGTCCCGGCGGAACCCCGTAGAACACCATGTTAAAAGCTCTGTTTAACTCAAATTCGCTTATCTCGAATGAAATTTTCACTCCCTATAACGATTTTCTCACAGTTAACTCGAATTCAGGGTGAGAAGGGGGGAAAAATTCTTCTCGTGGGACTTTTAGATTTTTGAATAGAATGAATGACAAGAAACCCTTTTGGGAGGATGCTCTTTTGTTTCATTTTTTTTTTCTGCTTCTCCCTCCTCCCACACAGACGCCTGTGGAGAGGATAAAACCTGAGGATTAAAACCGAAAAACTTCTGCTATAAAAAAGCCGCCAACATTCGCTCTGTCAATCTATCACTCTCACTTTGAGCCATTCTGTCCCCTATGTCCCCTGACGTGTTGGTATGGAATGACCCTTAGGAAAAATAATTTTTTTATTTTAAGCAAAATAAAAAACAAAAGAAGACTTGGAAACAAAGCAAAATAAGGATAATCACCAAAATAGTGGAAATCTACTACAGTTAATGGGGAAGAACTCAGATGCCAGGAAGTGGACAATCTCACAAAGCTTGAAACTTTTAGAACAGGTAAACTTTTATAATTAGCAGGCCAGGATGAATGAAATCGATGGCTTTCTATGGCTCTAAAAGTCTTATGCGGATTAGGCCTCGATGAGGTATCCAAACGAAGACATAGACCTAGGTAACTAAATCCTAACATAACGTTAGGTTGATGTCATACCAAGGTTGTCACATGATATTAGGATGGTAAAGCCTACCATTACAGTCCCATGGGTCCCCTAAGAGGGAAATCAAGTCTGCAGAGGGGATCAAGGACGTGGCGGGAATGCAGGTTCGAACTTCGAATTACTATCACTTAGTTTGCAATCAGTCTAGGATAGTCTCAAGCGCATTTCCAACGACCTTGATTAGCCCCTCTTCTTGAATCTAAAACTTTATACCTATTTAACCCTATGAATGGGAAGAAAGATAGTTAACTTTGTGACCAACCGGCAAGATAGGACAGAAACACATGCACGTAGCAGCATGGCTTGCACGCAGACATGCGCATGGGCTGTCGCTGGTTAGAGCACTACACGGGCTGTAGAAAGGTCCGACTCAACTCGACATTGGGCGGCTTTTACTGAAGTTTTCGAGGATCTCTCTTCCCGTCGGACTCTTCTTTTTTTTTAAATATTTATTTCAGTGTGAATGTGAGCTGGGATTCGGGCTATGGTTGCTGTCGGCGATAGAGAAAGATAAAAGATACCTTAGATAGATACCCTCCAAACATAGTAGTATTGTAGGAACGTTCCTCGAGTCTGGAGTCCCTGCTCTTCTGGTGCGAGATCGGTGGGGCAACTGGGAAGATCGTGCTTGGAATTTGCTGTAGGCCCCCAAACTCTTCCCGAGAGAACGATGCAGCTTCTTTTGCACTGATGCGTAGGATCAGCGAGGTCTCGAAGCAGGTATTGTTTTTCAGAGATTTTAACATGCCTAGTAGATTGGTCGGTGCCGCGAGGGGGGAGTGAAAGGGATAGGGAATTTCTCGTTGCGGTTCAGGATGCTCTTCTCGTTCAGCACATAGGAGAACGGACTCGTGAGGAAGCTTTATTGGATTTAGTTTTCGCGACGAATGACGATCTGGCACAAGACGCCAAGGTACAGGATAACTTGGGAGATTCAGACCACTGCGCGATTACTTGGAATATCAAACGGACGACGAGTAACGCCAAACCGGCAAAGGTTCCGTACAACTATAAGAAGGCTAATTTTGAGAGGTTACGTGAAAGCATTTTAGCCTTGAAGTGGCGTATTTTACAGGGGGCAGGGGGGGGCAGCCGCCCCCCCTGGCGCCCATAGGACAGAGCCTAGCACCCCTTTGGAGGAAATAATTTTCTCACCTGATATCACTCGGGTGGAGTTTGGTGCCCCCGCTGGTGGTCCGACTGGGAGGTGCGGTTCCGTGGGCTGACGGTAGAGGAGCAATGAGGGGCGTTCAAGACGTTATTGCAAGGCTTTATGGAGGAATGTATCCCCAAGAAGTCCATGAAATCGGTCCGACAACCGGTCTGGTTTACGGGTAAAATCAAAGCACTCATCATGGATAAGAAGCGGAAATGGGATACGTATAAGCGCACGGGAGATAGAACGGACATATAGGACCACCACGAGGACGTTGAAGTTACAAATGAGGTCTGCGAGATGGGAGGTCGAGGACGGCTGGCCAGCGATGCTTAGAAGAATCCCAAGGTTTTTTTATTATTATCGATATGCTAATGGTAGGTGTCAACGATCGATCGGCCCTCTAATGAACGGCAGGGGGGGATCGATTGCAAGTAATAAAGATATGGCTGGGATATTTAACGAGTTCTTCGCTTCGTTTTTACAGTGGAATCCGAGGAAGCACCGACTTTGGAGGAGGTGATTTCGGCGCGCATTGCGGATATTTCCATCACCGAGGAGACGATCGTGAGTATGATAGGGAAGTTAAAGGTGGGCGAAGCGACCAGCCCCGACGGGATTCCTGAGAGAGTCATCAAGGAACTTGCAAGTGAAATATCGGTTCCGCTAAGAAAAATTTTTGAAAGCAGCTTTTTGCGCGGTGAAGTACCTAAGGACTGGAGGCTAGCGAACGTCGTACAGATCTTTAAGAAGGGTAAAAAGAGTAATCCGGGGAATTATAGTGTAGTGCACCCCATGACTTATTACCTTCCCCAGTCAGGCCCCTGGCTACGGTCCTCGAAGGGGTTGGAATTAATTGCTACTTCTCCTCTACGCGTGTCCCATTCATCATTAACAGAGGAGAATGAGAGAGAATTGTGACAGTGACAAGTGAGGACACACTGGCGGCCTTCGTGTAATCTGTGGCTTTGCCGCGATTCCGCTGTCAAGAGGGATCAGATGTCAACCACTTTCCCCCAAATCTCCTGAATCCATTTTCGGTATCATCCTTCCGGCCTTCTGACCATTCAGCGTCCGAGTTTACCGTGACGTGGACGGGCATGGAGAACAGTATATAAACTCCACTTCGAGAGTGGGAAGGGAGGTGGAAGTTGGTGAAGGGTTCCGGA